GAAAATAAATAGAACTCAAGCAATACGCACGCATTTAAAGTGGCTTCGAATTTCACACAACCCTCGCAACAGCCAACGACAGCCTGACTGCCGAATCGAACTCTTTTTCAAAACACTCCGTGCTAGATTTGGCCAAACAGTTACTGCCTATAAGACGTTTTCTCGCGGAAATTTTTAGTAGAAAACGCTCATCTGTAGCGTAATCAATTTAATCAGCACATTTTACCAGCAGTTCTTCATACTTGTAGCTAGAAACTTATACCACGCGTCCGTTGCTTACAAATATGAACATTCGATCAACTTGACTTAACTGCTTCCGTCGGGCGGCGTCCAAGCCGCACGATGAGACACCTGCATTTCAGCACATCACGCGGTATTATTAGGTTCACTATTAAAGAAGCCTACGTAAAAAGATCGCCCCGACTGGCGTTATAATGGTCGGGTACTGAACGGAAATTAGGACTGAAAAACTAAATTTCACTCGGACTGCAATCAGCAGAAGCTAGCTGCATTAGCGGATAACGGACAGCCTACGCTCAGAGGACATGTATATTGTATAATAAGCTTCTTTTTAAAACCTGGACAATCCTCTGGCGGCCTTGGGGATGTCGTGAGGCGCGCGAATAAGACATCTGATGACTTCCACGGAGGGCGCGGCCGAGCCTGAGGAACGGTTAAGAACGTCCTGCCACCCCCCATATAGGGAGTGAGTGAAGATAAGATTGGTAAAGGGCATCAATGATACAAAATAGAGTAGGGAGTAAATAAAAGAAAAAGCAAGCCACTGCACGATTATATACTTGGCGATGAAACGAACAAAGCACCGTATACTTCTCTAACTCGACAAGAATTTACACCTGCGATATTTGTGGTAGCTTTAATTTTCTTTAGCATATTTCTTCCATCTATTTGCTTCATAATCAACTGCATTATACGTGTAAGGTTACTAATGTACCAGTTCAACACTACGCGATACTCTCTCATATCCTCAATACATGTCATGTCGTTCTCCCACGTCGCCATTACTAAGCATTCTTCCAAAACAATACTACTAAACATTCTCGCACGTCAATGGTACTAAACATTTTCTCGCGTCACCAGTATTAGTCGTTTCCCATGCTACCAGCATTAGACATTAGCCCTCCTCTCATAAGCCACATCCTCATTGATGCCACCTTCTTTTCTGTCCGCACAAAATATCGTGGAACCGCACAACGAAATATCGAACCGCACAACGAAATATCGTGGCAACTGCAGCTCATCTCCGACGGTGTAAAGAAGTGACCAATGATCAGCTTTTTAATTTTTAAAAAATTCTTTATTTTAAAATTATATATTCTGTTAATTGAGTCATGCATGCATTGTCTTCAACTTAATGCAAGTGTGAAAGTGTAAAATTTTAGATCAGTTGGACAGGTAGAAGTGTGTTAAATATTGATTTTAAGATTTGTAGCAGACAGACAAACAAACAGACAAGAAGTGAAGTTAAAGAGAAGTGTTGTAATAGAAATGCTAAATTAGGGAAGACCAGATATATTAAACATTTGATTCGAGTTTGGACTAAAACACGTTTCCATTACTGTGTTTATTTGAAATCAACAGCGCTTGGAACTGCTTAGAACTATCACAGTAGGCAACGATTTTTCGCTTGCTGCAAATGTTAATACGAACAGGTAAAAAAATGTCAATTTTTGGACAAAATCGTTGACTCAAGGTAGAAATAAGTATCACAATCGTACACTTCACACTGCACAAAAACCTTAAAAATATCAGCGACAAAATTATCTTTGCTACAAACCCCTGTACAACATAATTCATCAATCGGGAAAAATTATTACTGACAACAAGCATCAGCCTTTTGACCGACAATGACGCATCGAATTCAACCGACTCAGACTCACAGTTAATTAATGAGGTCCTGCCATTATCCTTAAACTTGACTATTTGGGAGAAACCAAGTGCTTGATGGTGCTTCACTTACCGCAGATCTCGAAACCAATCGTTACAAAACATGACCAATTGAGCATGCCGGTCATATGCTCTCTCTATAGACACATTTCATCTCTTATGTGTTCTAAGCCCATGTAGATCAGCAGCACCTTTTTTTCAGGCATTCTTCCACGAATGGGTTAGCAGGTTGTTTTCCTCTTTACGGCCATCAAAGTTCTGATCTTTACCTCTTTGTAGTCTAAAGATACTTGAAGATGTTTTTTATCCCTCCCACTGATGTGCACTGCCTGTATTTCCACGGTACGAGGAATATCGAACCCGGTGGAAGTCTAGTAGCTACTTGAAACTATCGTCAGTCATGAAAAGATCCGGTCAAATGAAACGATATTAGATCTTCTGTGAACAAGGCACGAAAAGGAAAAGAATCTGCGACAGGCCACATCAGGCCTACACATGCAGCGCCGAGTTCAATATGTTATGTTATGTTATATCATTATAAAGTTCATTCGCCTTTTCCGCAAAATTTTTCATTTAAACGATCAGGATTCCTAATTGTCTCAACTTTTCCCCAGCAGTGGTCACAAAGGAAGAGTCGATGATTGATTGGACAAAATTCCTTTGCAGGCTTAAAATTTACAATAGATTCTTGCACAGCACAATCGAGTAGTTCTACCAAGGGCAACATCAATGGGTCCGCAAAGTTCACCTCGCATCCACTAGGGACACTTGGATCATTCCTGAAGGCAGCACAACATCGCCCGTTTTTGGATCCCCAAGGTAAAAGGACGCCACAAACGTCACGTCGGAGATCCCGAGCGCACTGCCTCCGCAGCTCGTTCAATGTAACATCTATAAGGTCTGCTGTTCAGCCCACAGAGCTGGGCAGCGCTACTTGGAAATGTAGCGGCGCTACCGCTACCGCTACATGCTCTAAATGTAGCGGGCGCTACCGCTACCGCTACACCTATATAGATCATTACTCTCGTTAATTACAAAGTGTTTGCACTCGTTTGAAAGCTACAAACGAGACGCGTTCAACAAAGCAACTACCATAGATGTACATGCAATACTTTTTTGTGTAATGCAGTCTTAAACTTTTATAAAATGATCATTTTATATAATTAATTACAAATAAATGGTATTTATATGTCATTATTTAGATTAATTGCAAAGTGTTTGCACTCGTTTGAAAGCTACAAACAAGACGCGTTTAACAAAGCTCCTACCATGGATGTTCATGCAATAGTTTTTGCGTAATGCAGTTGTAAAGTTATGTAAAATGACTATTTTATATATATATTTATATATAAAAAGTCCCATTTATAGCCTATTATTCACGTTGAATTGAACATAAATAAGTCTAAAGACGCGTGCTGGTACCTTGAATGCAAATAATTGGCAATGGGAAAGCTTGGGCTGCAATATCAAGGCTTTTTGGGCATATTCTTCTGTTTTCATTGAATTTTACTTCATTTGGCTCCCCTGAACAATTTAAAAATCCAAAAACGCCATCTTAAAAAAATTATAACTCCAACAGTTTTCAAGCTACGGCAATGAGAGACATACCATTCGATTTGTAAAAACAATACCTAGCGACTCTAGAAGCTTTTTTTTTAATATGAGCATGGTTTGACTTATATATGGGAGGGGGAGGAAGGTGGGGGAGTAAAAATGTGAAAAAATGGGAAGAACGCGAAAAAAAAGATGAGGAAAATCAAAAATCGGGGCTCTACGGTCGCTAGATATTGTTGTTACAAATCGAATGATATGTGCCTCGCCATTGTAGCATAAGATTTGCAAAAGTTATAAACTTTTTTAGAGTACCCCTTATTTGCCGTTTTCTATTAATTCCACGTTTTCTTTCATTTTTTTAAATTTACATGAACAAAAAGGTCTTAGATTTCTATTTTACATATGTGTACCAAGTTTCAAAACGATCCGTCTGTAAACAAAAAAGTTTTGTTGGAGGGTAGCCGGTCCCCTTAAGGAAAATCTAAAGGCTTTATCTATAAATGTAGCGGTAGCGCTGTAGCGGCAAAAACCTCGTATCGCTACTTAAATATGTAGCGGGCGCTACCGCTACCGCTACATTGCCTTAAATGTAGAGCCGCTACCGCTACCGAAAATGTAGCGGCCGCTACATGTAGCGCGCTACTGCCCACGTCTGTCAACCCACTCGTCGAAGTCGTACGTTACTTTCGATTTCATAGATATAAAATTTCAAGTTTGTGCAGCATTGACATTATTAGAGTGTATAGCAAATATTATTTTAATTATCCTGTCAAGATTCTGTGTATTGGCCGCGACCCCGTTTGACGACTTTGTCATTCTACCAACGCCCGGAGATAATATAACTTTCCGTGTCGCTTGTCATCACTGTGAGCTATATGGAAGCAGGTGATCAGTCTTCCACCAGATTGCATGAGCGAATTTTTTTTACAGTGGACTCACGCAAATGATGAGTATGCAGTGTGATGTTGCCACATGCCATTTCCTGCATTTATAGAAAAGCTCATGCTTGTTCCGGGCGTTCAGGTCCGGTAGAAAACAAATTAGAGCGCATTAAACTGTGACTTAGTCAACACAAACCAAGACGAAGGCAAAATGGAGTGTGGAGCAGTAAACACTTAAAACTAAAAATTACATAGGTATAAAAAAATTGATTAGATATTCCCGGCCTCCATAGGCAATGATAGACAATCTTTACATATTTCCTGAGACAATCCTCAGTAGTTCCTCAGTCAAAATTCTGATAACATTTTTGGATAACAGTCTTGGAAAAAGTTCATCAGATTGCTCTGAAAATTTCTGGAGCTTGTTTGTAGCTCCAGCACTCTGAAGGAGTTTTTTTCGATAGCCGAGGGCTCCTGCACTTTTGCCTCGGTTTACTTCAGTCGAAAGCAAGAGAACTTCTTAGGAACAGTCATTTCTTAAATAGAAATGATAGGAACGGTTATTTCTGGCCTTTGGAACGAATATTCATGGAACTCGCACATGTCTGCAATGCCAACAACATCTAAAGGCAGTTAAGGAAAAAAAGTTATATAATGAAACGCTTCTTGGTAATAGTTTATTCGAATGTAAAAATTGGGTAGAAATAATCTTAAAGCTATTGAGATCCATGAGTAAGCCGTGTTGAATGACCTCGAGAAAATGAATGCTTTTCTACCAATTCCCCAGGTGACTGTGTAATGTTATCAAACAATATCTGACGAAAAAAAGTTATGCTTGATAAAATAATTCTTCAAAATATTATTATAATCCTTTGTCTAATTCCATCATGAAGTGTTTTATGCAAATATCTCATTATTAAATAATATAGATGAGAACATAAAGCTGCTTTGCAACAAGGATTCTCGGCGAAGCGACGATCGCGGTCTCTCCTCCATGGAAGGAAGGAAGGCGAGACCTGACTTGTCGGCGACGGGGTTGTGCGTGGGTGAAAGGAGGCCCAATTTATCGAAGACAAGAGGCTCTGCCCGATTTATCGGATAAAAAGGACTCATCCGGACTTGTCGGCGATGGGGTTGGCGTGGATGGTGACGGAGTTGAGGCGGGTGGGGCGCGTAGGGCGGTAGGTCTTAGCATCCACAGGCAGCTTCTCGAGTTCATCCAGAGTATCGAAGCCGTCTATGACTCTGCAACAAACAATACTTGAATCTACGCTCATGTTTTTAACATTTTTCAAATTATTTACAGATGATAGAAATTTATAATTAGAATTCTGTATAATGGTTAAATCGTCAATTGGAATTAGCTCAAGTTGATAGTTACAGCCCAGTAAGTGCGAGCATTAGAGGATTCGACCGGGGGGGGGGGGCTAATCTCAAGTGTATACAAAAATAAGATCGAAAATTAAACAGCAAAATGGAGAAGAAACACAAATTGAAATCCTGTCACCCATGATTTTCTCGATCAGATTTAAAACAAAGAAATACAGCAGAGACGCCCGTGGATCGCTCCGACCAGCGCGAGCGCCCCTCCAACTGCCATGCATTTTTGCACATACAAATTTACGTCCACGTTCTGCGGCACAATTACGCAACGTCTTCACAAGTAACTATCTTTATTTTACAAGTATCACTAATTTCAGAAATCATGATAAAAGTTCCACAGCAGACAATGCATCAACCTCGAAAGCAGAAAACTGAACTTCCATGCGGCAAAAAGCATCTGGATGGCCCGCAGTTAGCGACCTCAAGTTTTTTATGCTATCCTGAATGTTGTTCTCTGGCGGTTGGAAGAATATTCCGAATGAGAATTCGGATCTTTGAATGCGCATATCTCTAAGAAGTTATGAATTGACTGCTTGTCATGCATCAATTATTCTCTCGACCTATTCATGTCATCACAGTTCCAAGCTACGGTGTTCCTAGTGTTGTTCATGGCTCACTGCATAAAATCATTCCCACTGAGTAATATCAACACAAAATGGCGAAAAAGCTACTCGAAGTAACGGGAAGCAACCTTCAATGATGTTAAGCAGCCTGCGATAATCTGCAAGTTGTTCTCGGTCCATGGCAAATAATCACAGATTTATAATTCTTCTTCTATGAAGAATCAGAGTTTGGGGCTTACGATCTCGAAGTTAAGAGTTAATTTATTAGGAGAAATAATGGAAAAAGTTGACTGAAGTTATAATAGATGTTCATAATCAATGCTATTAGGAGAGAAAAGAAATACGTTTCTTAATGGAACTTTCGATTGTCAGATTTGTCCTTCAATGGTCTGGACTCAGCTGCAACACCATGAATAACGTTCTCTGCATTGAAATTCTACTTTCATACTACGATATATTTTGAACTTAGAGAGATATAGCTGATAAATATAAGAGAACTTGATAAAAACCATAAGACAGAAAGACAAACTGATTCGGGTCACATCACACGGAGAAGAAGAGAAGTGGGTCCAGTGTTGACTAAAAGTCATGAGATCTAAGGCATCCAAGTCATTATTAATGGTACTTAAGAATAAATAATTCAGAAACATATCAATTTTTACAACTGACTTGCCGAAGACAGTGTACTTGAGGTCGAGATGAGGCTGCATGCTGTACGTGATGAAGAACTGCGATCCGTTGGTGTCAGGACCGTTGCTGGCCATGCTTACCTGCACAACACTCGGTCAAGTCAATTTCAAGCTATGAATACATATGAATAGCTTCGGGAATATTACAACTATTGCAATACACGTAAACAATGTGCGGGAGGAGCGTTGAAACGAGTCTTACTTTTGCAACAACCAAGTGAGGAAATATTAGATAATTGATTAATACTACCGCACGTTGTTCATAATTACTTTAAAATTATAATCTATTTGTATATTCAAACGAATTGATATCTGGAAAATCTCATAAATTAATACAAAAATATGTATTTCGGTAACACATACACTTGTTTTCTAGCTTCTGAAAACCTTTTCAGAAGTACGTTAAAAGTTTAACCCTCAGACTGTAACGCTAATTAACAGGCCATGAAACTCGCAAACCATTACCGATGGCTACTGCATTCGTAGAGAAACGGTCAAATGTGGAATTTAAAGCAGAGCTTATAATGTAGTCATAGTAAGGAGCTCACAATGCCTCTGGAGTTGTGTTTGAGGTCGTCTCGGACTTCGTCTTCAAACTTGCTGCCCCAAATAGAAGAGCCTCCTTTGCCGGTGCCGGTTGGGTCCCCGGTCTGGACCATGAAGCCCTGGAATACGGTCACACATCACCACCACAACTCAATTATATCAATCCCTAACATAATTATATTGTTTGGAGCGAAAAATAATATTAAATAGGCCTGAGCATATAAGGACCTATTTGTTAAATCCTGTACAACACTTCTCGCCAGATGATGCCTCGATCAGTGCATTTTCTTACATTCTTGATGGTTGTAAAAAAGCCCACGATTACCTATTACTCTAACACATAATTACGCTCTTTTATAGACGCACGCCCGCGAAACCGGAATCTCATTATTTTTCCATGCACTTGCGATTCTCTCAAATTCATCGTCAAGGTAAACAACGCGCGACATTTTTATTAGAAATGCATGCCTCATTTCTCTTGACTCCAAGCTGGAATGGCGTATCTAAGTTTCTCCCACACCTCACATAAATAGAAGAAGACGTACTTTGCTAATTCAGCGTGACGTGGGAACCGACATAACCCATCTAAAATATCTTGTGTGCAGTAAACACTTTGGTATGGGGCTTTCATGAGGCTACGACACACCTATCAGTCCTGGTCTCCTGCCATTAAAATGACTGTCCAAACATGTCCTCATGCACTGATTGCCGTCGAATATTAATTGTGTCAACAGGTACGTAATAAAAATTTAGATTTGGCACAACATAAATACGACTCTATTACTCGTACAAACATTGACAAGAAAATTCATCCTAGGCTTTTTCCACCCTTTTCGCGCTCAATTCGTGAGAAGATAAATCGTATTCACGCAAAGTGAACACGGTTCAGCACGCGAAGAGCCTGGAAGGAAACGTATTGTGACACCCATTCATCTTCATTAGAGTTGGCGGCCAAAATGAAGATCGAGATGCCAACAACGCAATAAATGTAGAGGATCGTTCCTTGTACGAGGGTATCCATATAAAAAAATTTATAAACTTAATTGATAGTATGTATGAGCGCTAGTGTTTGTTGAGATGGTAAACAATGTATGATTGGGATCAACGACATACTGTGAGAGCAAGTTTTTATAGCGGCCATTTAAGGGAAGCGTATTTCAAGCTGTTGCAAAGGGCGAGGTGTCTTCTATGCTGGCTTGAGTGTGCGGCGTCGTTGGGCTTAAAGGCAATTAAATTCTACTGAAGGCTCTGTAGCACAAACACAGTTTGCAGGTTTGCAGACGGAGCTGATGTCAGGGCCAAGTAACGGACGCAAGAAACTGATACTTACAACTCAGTAATTCATTTTTCTCAGGGACTCCCATAATATCTATCAAAGATGGCGAAAATTTACAAGAAAGCCGTGAACTCGAGAAACAGCAAACATAAGGCAGTTATGGAATCGACTATCAAGTCATTCAAAAAACGAGCACTGTGCAAAAACTGTTGTCCATGAGTACGGTCACAGCCCTCGGCAGCAATGACACGGGCCCAAGCTAGAAACAACGTCATCCAATGGCAAATACGGCACCAACGTTACGAACCCTGACCGCCAATAACTGGACACACCCTGCAGTCGTGGGGTACATTAAGAAGCGGGACGAGACGACTGCGAGACTTGCAGTGTCACGGGGATAACGCAGTTCGACCACTTGGGCCAACACCGCTGTCATTATTTCAGAGGATGTATAGAATGCATATGTTCGCGGTAAGGCAATCGTAACACTTAGCGTGATCGCACTTCGGATCGAATATTCTGGATCACAAGTAATATTGATGAAAAATTTTATTGGACACCTCTGATTGTGAAGAAATATTAAGCATTATTTGTTTTATGAGGAAAATAGTAAAATTTTATGTATTTTTAACACAGAATCTACTTGGACGCTCATGGTCTCCTCAAATACCTAATTTGGATCATATTAAAAAGTGCATTTTTCTCATGCACAAATTTATACGTAAGTAATGGTTCATGGCAACCCTGTCTTTATAGGTACTATTTTTTGCACAGTCTTATGACTGGTCATAAGAATACTTTAACAAAGAAAGCCTCTGACGTTACAAAACCACAGTACCTTGCCAATCAAGACATCAATCCCAATAATATAAATCAAAAAGTTATTCTTGAACATTTTATTCAGGATCAGCATTCAAATTTCTAGCTGATGATTGGCATCAAATATATTGAATATGCAATGTCCAAAATTTAAATGATCTATTTTTCACTAGGTAGGTATATCAATTAAATGACGCAATTCAGTCAAAACACCTACAGACAAATCATTCAGCTTCTATCAATGATGCCTGTAAAATTGTTTTAATATTTAATGAAAGTTTAAACTTTCATTTTTTACCATCTTGATTCCTGAATCATATCTCGTGTAACCAAGTGTCAACAGCCATGATTTAACATCAAAACTTTCTCAAATTAGATATTTTCTAACTTATATCAACTGTGAAAAGAAGTAATCAATGAGTGACAAGCAACTACCACTGTGATATTAAACTCCTCTAATACTCTGACAATTATTACACTTCAAGTAAAGTCAACCCATAGAATGGTAAACAAAATACTCAACGAAGCATCAGAGATATTCTCAGAATTAGCTAAAGTTCTAGCAAAATTTAACACAAAAAAAATTTCAACATTGGATAAATATTCACTAAGTTGATATAATGATACTCATATTCTGCTTAGGGATAGAAATGTCTAACCTTGATGTTCCTGTGGAATAAGCAGCCATCATAATAGCCAGAGGCACATAAGGCTAGGAAATTGTGGCAGGCCTTTGGACAGGGATCAATGAACAGCTCTATCTTCAGGTCTCCAACATCCGTGTGGAGTGTGACACTCTGCAAGCAGAACTATCGTAATAGCTTCCGCTATATTCATATACCTATGCACAGTAGCACAGCAAAGCATAACACTTTATAATCAAATAAAACTATATATATAATATGTTTTAGTGAAAAATCTATCTGCCAAGATGCTGACAAATATTGCTGATAGCATATAAAGAATAAAAATTTTACACATTTTGTGAAATCTTGGTCACAAATTGCTATGCAATAACTTAATGTTAGAGCTGTACTGTACACTAGAATAGTTAGAAGGATTCTGAGAATAAATATGATTACATGCATTTATTTCAGTTTAAATAAGTGAAACTTAGTAAAAAATATTAAAAAACTTGATAAGTAAAAATTAAATCAGGTAGGTGATCTGAGATTTGGCAAAGTCATACACACTTTTGTTCTTGACCATTAAGTAAATTCTTATAAATTATGAATAATAGCTGTAAATTCAAAGGGGCTGCATAGCAATTAAATAATTTGTTTCTATATTTACATATAAGTTATAGTTATACCAGTCTGTTTTAGTATTTTCTGTTGGTACACTTAGTCACTTACCATTATATTTTCTTGTGTGATTTGAATAATTCAATTTTTTCTTTAGGGAGATGAAATTTGAATATTTTAGAAATATCTACTCAACTAAAATTAATATATACACAAACTAAAACACTAATACCTTGAAATTATTCAAGAAATTATAAATAATAGGCCATATTGATATTTGATAAATGATCATTAGCTAAATAAATTGGATTTGGATTTGGGGCATGGTGACTCTGAAGGGAAGAATGACATTTCAGAGTCAGGCCTTTGCAACGGCCATCAGCCACGCATCACATTTTCATTTGTTAGTAGAAAGGAGGAAGAAAGGGAAACTATAAACAGCAAGGAGGGCGTGAGGGTTCGTGCTAGGGGTAAGATGAGAGCTAGGTGAAAGGGAATCATGAGGAAATTCATATGGTTTATTATTGCTATATCTCAGTTTTTGCCCTATGTAACTTTACATTTACATTAGTTATGTGGCCTCTAACGCCCTAAGTGACTATCTGTGTTATATTGAATTATTATGGTTTGGTTATTCTATCTTTATTATACTGCTGCTCTCTACTGTCCCCCGGCCTCCACTCTTGCCAGCCTCCTCCTTTCCCTCACTCTTCATGCACTCTCCAGAAAACGCTTTCCACTCTCAGTCATAGCGGCTGTCACCCCAGTTGACAAGCCCACTATCATTGCCATCCATTCGTCTCGTGTTCTCTCATATACCACTCCGTCACCCTCACCTCTTTCATCCAGTATCACTCTCATCATTTCCAGACTCTCCCGCTCATATGCATCACACTCCATCATCAGGTGCTCCACAGTTTCCCTCTCACCTCTGTCACACATGAAACAAATATCCTCTCTTCTCTCATTCCACCAGTACGTCCCAGCATTCACACTCAAAGCATTTGCTCTCACACAGTACATTAGATCTCTACCTCTACTTCTATCATATATGTACTCATACCTTGGCACCTCTTTTATCCTGTACAACTTCAGGCTGTCCTTTCTTTCTTATTGAAATTGTTGTAGGACTATTTTTATCCTTCTACCAGCCACGTTTTGGGCCTGAGGGTGTTTGCTGCAAGGGTGTCAAGAAAACAAGGAATTGGTGATGGTCTCCACCTCCCCTACAACCATCCCAAACCACCTTTTCATTAGAATTTTCCTTGTGTTTATTTAACAATTTATTGAACAATACAACAAGAAGAACCAGGTATATACAGTGAACAGAGAAGAAAAGAACAAGGGCAAAACCGAGGCACAGGGGTCTATAACCTCAAATAATGGCATTTTCAAGTTTGCCTGCTTTAACCAGTTTAAAAAAAAATTAACATGATAAACCTAAGGAGTGCACTAATCCATAAAAAATATGAGTTACTTTAACTTTACATGATTAAGTTAGTGATGCATATCAAATAGTGAGCAAGCGTCTACTAAGATGTCAACACTGAAATTGATACATACTTTGCTTTAATTTTATACTTTAATTTCACATTATATTGCATCTCACTGGAGAGGGGGGTATGCAGGACCCCTACTCCCCTAGTAGGGGAAATCCTACTTCCTTGCAGCATCACTGAAATAAGCTTCCCACAACAAAATTATTGAACAAAAATTTCCAGAAAATGTTTTGATTAGTCAGTCTAGTCATAAAAAAGGAATACCATTAACATAAGAGTCATAAAACTAACTGACTAAATACAATGTAATGTTACCATCTGGCTTAATCTGTAGCCAAATAAAAACCATATCTTCTGTTAGTTAGACTGTTACAGTAGAACACTAAATATCAGTTCTGATATTCACAGTTAGATAGCCATAGCCTACCTACAATTATGATGAATTAGGGTAAACGCGGTATATTCCGACATCGTAGGTAATTCCGTCACTTCTCTAGTTTTTCCTTTATATTAAGCTTTGTTTTAGTTCCATGCGTTCATTGATGGTTGAAATGATGACGTCATACATTTGCGTGTCGAAATACTTTTCAATATTTGTTAGTGTTCTAATTCAAAGCCGTGTTGTATCCCAATACAGCTCACACAGCGAACGGAATTCGAATACGTTGATGTCGGCATTACGTATCAGTTAAATTTGAAGCGCTGACGCAATACGACTCACCATGTGTCGAATATTGCCACACACAGTGACGGAATATAGGGATTTGGTAGGTTTCCATTCTAAAGGCTTTTTAATAAATATGGCAACATTTTTGTGACGTTTCATTGTTGCTGACGCGTAGTGAAGTGTTTTGAGAGTCACATGAAGGCAACAGAACTTACATAACGCATACGGTTTTTTTATAGTTTTTTATTTCTCGATGCGTCCTTAATGTGTCGGAATATACCGCGTTTACCCCATCTTACTGAGAACACCACATGAGTGACATGACTGATGACACCGCAATCATCATTAAGTGAAGTTAGTGAACACCAAGCAATTTACACCCAGTTGCTCACAATGCTCAGTTTTACATTGCCATTTCAATGAAAAAAGGCTATCAGTATCAATGTACTCTAAAATTTAACCCATGCAGTATGCAACTCAATAAATCACGCTGTCTGCACTCTGCACAGCAGACAGCAGCACAAATCGTAATGCGTAACCTCAGAACCTGCCTTCCCAATGCCCTAATTTTCAATTCAAGATAGCTTCAGCATTCTTGAGCATTGCAAAATGCACCTCATTTTATCTTTATTATTATAAGAAGCTGTAAATTTATCGATAATCGAGGTGCAACTAGATCCGAAAACTGTCGTGTTTCTTCTTCTTCTTCTTCTTCTTGTTTGATGATTACTGGAGCTTTGGAGACCCGTCCATGTAGCTCCACGTCTGCAGGGGGATTCAGTTGTTACATAGGGAGTTATATGTCAATATCATGTTCAGGGAAATATTTTGCAGCAGGTAGATCAAGGGACATGTTTCAAAATAAAACATCATTCAATATTATCAGGAGATGTTAGTGACTAGTTCATACTAAACAGAAGATGCCATTAAATTACCGTAGCTAGGCCAAATTACCCAAGTTAGTAACTAGAGGATGCCCTACCTTGTGCCACATACGAGAAACCAGACTCTAGGTGAGGGTCCAGCCTGGGTGGCACAACCTGGAGCCTCTTTCAGCCAAATGTGGCTAGTGCAAACCAGGGATGGCAATGATTAAATCAAAATGATTAAATCATGTGATTAAATCACTTGATTTTTTTATAAAAAAATCATGATTTTTTTTATTTTTTTTTATTTTTTTGATTTATTTGATTTTTTCATATATTTAAATATATTGAGTGGCAATCTTTAATTTATATTGAGGTATTGTTATTTATGGTTTAGCATAAATGTACTATGAATGACACCATGGTATATAAACTTGTTGCCTTTAGTGTGTATTAGGTTCAAATAAATTGAATGTTTTTGGTATGGAGGCATCATGTGTGCAGTACATTGTACGTAGCTAGCAGCTTAGCTAATTCTTATAAGGCTATAAGTAGTCTTTAACTATTTGACTATTTGTTATATATTGATTACAATATACAATTTAAATGAGTTAGCTAGCTTATACAGGGTGGGGCAGAACTGATTGAACAGTTTTGGGGTGCAAAATAAAAGAGTAATGGAGATACATAAAGAAAAAAGTTTATTTTCCTCAACATTAGCATAACATACCATTCAAAATACTTATGTTTTGAAAACAATATCAGGAAAATGGCGTTTGTTAGCTGCATCACACAGTTGGAGTCGTTTTCGGGAGTTTTCTACAGCGCGTTCACACATATGGCGAGGTATGGCCATTAAATTAGCATTAGTGCGTTAACAATGTGTGCATTTGGGGCGGTCCATTCTAGCTTTCTAACGCTGTTTGGATTACAGTGGCAGTGACGTTGCACACGTTCTGATGGTAATTGGATTCTTACGACTGGCGTTGCACACGTTCTAGCAATGATTGGATTCATTTGACTGTGACGTTGGACGCGTTCAAGCATTGATTGGATTCTTTTGAGTGTTACGTTGGACGCGTTCCATGGTCAGGAAGATGTGCCAGGTGTGCGGGAATTTATTTTGTCATTTTAACGACCTGCGTGGTGCGCCGTACTACGTTGGTAAAAAAATGCGCCGTGCGCCGTACTTTAGAAAGCTAAAATCTAAGTTAATTGGACCTACAAAACAAACTAAGAGATATTATATCAAAATTTCTATTTCAAGAGAGCCTTCAGATAGGTTACTCACCGATTTTCAAAGTGTCACAGCTCTTACCAACGTCCGTCGTCGACCGCAGCTCGAACCGGAATCCCGTGGAGACACTTCGCTATCAACGACTCCGAATCGTCCGTCCTCCCGCGTGTTGACAAAATTCTTCAACTGTCGTGTTTCGAATCGCAAAACAGTACATCGGATTGTCGATGTCGGTCCGCAAAAACTGAAAACATGATAATGAATTTCGGTAAATGCTTATTTTGCTGGATAACTGAACAAGTTGTCTCCATAAGTTGTCTCCATAGACAACTGAACTAGTTGTCTCATAAGTGCATGAGACAATTACGGGGAGAAACTTATTCATTGCGTTGATAACTTTGCCTTGAATGCACTAATTTTTTGTTTATTTTCAGCTCGGGCATTTACTTTGAAATGGACTGGTTATATGCAGTCCTAAATGTCTAAATTTGTACTTGAAGTTCTACGAAGTGAAAATACTGACGTATATGTTAATCTAGCGCATGGGTGATACAACGGCATGCAATGTTACATAATACAACATCGCTTTGATGATTTCGGTAAGAAAAATCTGTGTAGAAAAACACCGGCTGGAATAAATACTACAATAGTTCAGATTGAGTGATGCGACAGAAATATACCAAGAAAAACTGCAAAATGAAGTTTAAATAATATTCGCTTTGTATGATATACCGCAAGCCGATCCTGGCATTGCCTGTATGATTGTGATAGCAGAATCCATGCTCAGGTGATTCGTATGTTAGGGTTTTAGAATCACTGAATACTTTCAAACTGAAACAGTTTCTCAGTCTCTCTTTAAACCGAAACCGTTTATTACTTACGTTACAAACTTTATCGAGTTTTTTTTTTTCATTTAACTGCTGACTGTACTTGAATTTTCTTCAAGCGCACATTGGGAATCTTGTTTGAGAATGTATCGAACATGAAAACATTACATTAGGTCACAACTGACATCCAAGCTCTACACAAGACACGTGAAGGTGCTTTGGATTCACCGTGAACTAAAAAGAACTTTCATTAAAGAGATTTTTCAAAATGTATTAGGCAATAGTTTTGTTGATCGTGCGCATAAAATTTGACTCATCCCGAGGTTAACACTGCAAGCAAATTAAGGTAAAAGGCCGTAGTTGAAAACTACGTTGTTAAGTGTTTAAGTTGGCACATACTGGAGTCTTTGTCAACAATGTCCGATTGACTGACATGTCAAGATGAGAAACGTCTAAAAATTAAATAAAGGAAGCTCTACACGTAAAATTAGAAAAGCTCGTGGATAAGTCTCTTGACATTGCAGAAAATGTAATAGGTTCTGAGCTAAGCTTAATATACCATATATCTAAGCTTAAACAACACACTAGCGTTGTCAAAAACCACTCAAGAAATCGTCCGGAGATTTTCTATTCTATATGAATATGAATACCGTAACAAAACCCTTGCAGAATTCCTAGAAACAAAAGTAACTCTAATTCTTTGGCGAAATAAATCGTTGAAGAACCCAGCAGTACAAATGAAACAATGAAAAAAACAAATATTATGTGACATTAGCTTACAAATCCAAAAATGGCGAACATTTGAACTCGTAATAAATTTAATTGTTCCCGAAGTTGCTTGATCTTCAGTTCTTTGACGCTGACGTCGGTGAACTGCCAGAGCAAACTTGGAAATCTACTTTCACTCACAGAAAAACTATGCAGGAATAAATGAAAATTTGATGTACAAACAACTTTCCGGCTATTGGTGTGAGGCGCTTAATAAAAGCAGTGGTGCAAGAAAAATGTATTCATCAAATAAGTATCCATCAAAATAGGTGATATGGTACATGTTTAAAAAAAAATCTCTGTCAATACAGGCATGACAAACTGGGCATTGATGAACAAGAGGAATTTTTACCGAACAGTAAAAAATATACAAGCGCGCAAAATGTGCTCAAGTCTGTAATGTAAAAGTTGACAATTATTTCGTTTCCTTTAATAAATCTTATATAATAAAACCTCAAGTAACAAAAAGAGGAATACTAAAAGCCTTCTCAACGATCACTGGTGAATGATGAACTCCTTTGACCAACGATATTTCTCAGCGTTTGCTGCTCGCTATCATTAATACTGATAATAATAGCCAGGCTACTGCACGGTCAGAAGCCCGTTCACGGTTAACAGTAATTAAGTGTTATTATTTATGAGGGCATTTGTTAACAGCCTTTTTAAATTCGGAAGCGAGCTACCCAACACGCCTGTGTAGATTATCAAACATTTTTTAATGTGGCAAGAAACGGATATTAAGGTTTAGCGTTATAAAACAAGAACAGTATCATTCAATCCTTTCAATTAAACAACGAACAGGATGTACACGAGTAAAAACGTACATTCCTCTGCATGAAACTAAAAATCACAAGGATATGACGCAGGCGCGTGAAACGTTAGCAAATTTTTCCAGTTATGCCATCTATTAATAACGTTAATAATGCAGTTGTAATTCAATCGTCATGATGCAGCATTTAAAGGCAGACCTAAGTCCTAACAATGAACAAATTCACCATAGTTTTTTTTAGTTGCCCACGCATGTCTAGCGCAAGCAGTTCGGCATACGGCGACGGCTGCGGCCAGTCGTCTGCTGCCGCACTCCACTTGTTCCAGTTAGGCCGTTTCAGCTGATGAGGTATTAAATTAAGCCCCACTCGTGATGAAACATTATTTCCGTAAGAAACAGCAATGCTTTGGTAGTTGAAGGTTGTAGGAAAAAAAACGTTCATTGAACGGGTACAAAAATTCTCACAACGATCAAAAAAATTCCATATTTCTATTGACGAAAGTGTCGAGATATTTTCCTCTCGAAGCCGAATCTTCAGCAAAAAAAATCCGCTGCAGCCCCCAAAATATAGCATTCCGCTAGAGCATTAAAAGTGAAAGTGGTGATAATAATCGTGCCCAATTGCGACATCGAATGCTCATGCTTATTAAAGATAAGAATCTAAACGTCATTAGAACTGAATACAGCGTAGAAAATTACCAACAAACATAACATCAAATCTATTTGACTGCAATGAAGTAATCGGACCAACTCCCTGAGTGCACGAGTTTTGCACAAGAGAGAACTAAGCCTAAGAAAATGGGAACATTAAAAAAAACGATCACAGGTTAGGTTTCATAGCGCAGACAAAAAAAAAGTAATCCACCATATCACTGACGACGAACTATAAATTAAACTCATCATAAAAACCAAGACTACCGCACTACCTAACTGTAGGCACAGCATTTCGAAAAGATGAGTAACATACCATAAATTGAAAGGAAACCTAAAGTGACACCTGTTTAAGGACAGTACAACATTATATTTTCTGCATCAACTTTTTCTGATTGGGTGAATAGCGCTGGTGTATGCTTTTATTAGCCAATAAAATGAGCGTGAAATGAGCTTATTTGCATATTATACGAAATTTAATCAAACACAGATTATTGAACGAGCTGCTTTTGTCCGCACCAATTAAGGCAAAAGCTGACTGGTCTTGTTTCCAACGGGTCAGAAATTCGAAGGTGTAAAAACAATGATTTATGGTAATAAACAATGATTTTTATGGTAATTAAGAAATTATGTAAGCAATTATTTATTCTGGTCTTTTCTTATCATCTATTCTATCGATGGATAGACTATATATTTTGCTCCAAAAAATGAGGGATCGATTGAATATTTTACTGAGAATTGAAGGTTTGGTAATTTTTCTTTTGAAGCGAATCTTCTGCTAACAATAAACACGGTTTTGGGTGCAACTGGACATTAAGAGCAATATTTATATTTTTTGGGTTCCCGTGCACTCATTCCGCGACTGGCCTTAGCGCTAGCAAGCCTGAATAAACATTAAATATGACAGGAATTCGATCCACTATTGGACACCAGCTGAGGCCAGCGTCGCGATGTCTACACGAAGGCGACGTGGTGTGGATACTTGGAGCGCAGAGCATCAAGCCGGTGCTTGGCAGCCTTCAGGAGCTCGTTGATGTCCACAGCAGGGCTCTGCTTCAGGAAGTTCTTGGCTTTGATGACCAGCAAGCCCCACTCAGCAGCTCGGTCGCTGAAATACTCCTGCAGCAGCACGACCACCAGCGCCGTCATTAGGTTGGCCGGCTGAAAAAAAAAAAATGTGACCTTCGATTTCGAAAATGGAATCAGAATCGAGGAATTTACTTGCCAATAATTTATGAAGAAATAACAGATATCGCCGATTTTATGACTAAATTTGAATTAAAATGGCACAAGCCATGACTACTCATGACGAAGTTAAAATTGAGAGCAGAACCTAGCCTCGAAAAAGACTTCCTGGATTCCGCTAGATCTATTTCACTTCCGGATAACGGGGGGTAACACTTGCATCATTCCTCGTAAAAAAGACTCACTTGAGCGTCACCTTGCAGCAGATCTCCTGCAGCAGTCTGGAGAATAGACGCAATGTCATCGGCCAGCCAGGACCCATCAAACTTTTGTTGAGCAATTATTTGACAATATATGTTCTCCTTCGGCGTTCCAGAGGGACAAAATTTGTCTACTTCGTTCGTTGCATCATCAACCAGCACTTTTTCACACATCTCCATTTCAATTGCCCGCTGTGATTCAAAGCGACTTGGTGACGATGACCGGGGCGGCCCTCCTCCAACCATTGGAAACCGTACTGGTACACAGGCGACGAGACGCGCTTTCATGTAGCCCTCGCCGTGCATACCGCCGCAGGGCTGCGCTTCCTTCGGATGCGCGGCTCGCTGCTCGTCGGTCTCGCCGACCTGCTGGTCCACAGCCACGAAGGCCGTGTGGCGAGAGAGAACTCCTGAGGCGCAGCTCAGCTCTACCACAGTCTTACGTGCGTCTGCTGAATTGAAAAGTGAAAAAATCTATTCAAAAACAGAAAGAAATATCCCTAATATTTAGTGCACATGAAAATATTTGAAAATCTAATTTAAATTTACTTGTAACATTTATGTCGTTCTACAATTTAAATTTGATTTTAATCCTCATATGAAATTCCAGATGGTTTTTTGTCAATAGACGAAGTTGCGCTTAAGTGGAAGATACCAGGAACTAGAGGAGTCTGAGTCAAAAGTGCCTATCCGAACACTTCAATTGATGGTTGAATGAAATTTTCGGTATCATGATTCTCGTACATTTTTCCCAATTTTAGTGCAGTTCCTGACAGGTTACCAAAGAACGACGACGAGCCAGAAAATTGGTTAATAGGCTCCTGACTGATTGTCAGCGAGCGACGATGACCAAAAAAATTATTGTTGAGCTTCTGCCTGGTATCCAAGAGCGATGATGTCCTATAAGACAGCGATCGAGTTGCAGTATGTGAACTAGGAAGCGACGAAGATACAAAGCAATAAACGAATATTTTCATTATTTTGTGTTGTGTAATTCAACAACAGAACGACTCTAATAAATATTTGAATGAGTTCCGAATTATGAACGTCTCTTAACGTCTAGATCCATGGCAACGAGGTCAGTGAAGCGAGATAGAACACCAGAGGCAATGCTAAGTCGAACAATATCTGCAAGGTAAAGATATCAAATACTCGTCGTAAGCTGGCTAAAAAACTTCTTTCACAGAAAAATTTTATGCAATTGACATCCAATCAGAGAAATAACGCTTATCGCTATAACACCAACTAATTTCGTTAGAGCACAAAGTATCTTACAAAAATCAAAAGCGGAGAGATTCGCGTAAATCCGATTAGCAAATATTAGGACAACGAGATAGTGACTGCAAGCGTAACGGATGGCAGCTTGACGAGATTTTATCGACATCGACCATGGACTTGGACATGACAAGCCAATAATAATAATAATGGCAAGATGAAATGGTTCGAATGCGAGGTATTAATATACTCCGTATCACCGTATGGTTCAATGATGAGGTATCACTCTACATTGTAAGTTATCCGATACGTAGCGTAATCACTTGAAAAGAAAGCGAGGCCAAAAAATTCGGCCCAGTAGTGCCAAGCCATGAGGAAGTTCCTTTCACATTCAAGATTCCTTAATAACAAAACGTAGACAACAAGAAGCCAGAAACGGGAGATGCATACAGTAGCAATAAACAAAAAATATAACTCAGTACTCACTGCAGTGAGTGACAGAGAGCGCATTTTCTCATCGACGAAAACGTGTAGTCACGGACGGACAGACGGACATGGCGAGCACAATAGTGCATTTTTTTCATAAATGAGAAAATGAGATAAAAAGAAGTGCAGGCACTAGGCATGCCTAAGCTTCATCTCTCACCCTTGTTCTTCAGGCACAGGTCCAGGATTGAAGCGCGGGCGGCGAGACGATGAAGGGTGAGACGTTCGTCGTGCACAGTGACCATCTGGCGTTCCGTCACGCTGCACTGCCACTCGTCACCGTCCACCGTCCCCTTCAGCGTGATGCTCTTCAGCTGCGCACGTCACTATCATTAGCACAAGCCACATTATTCGCCCTCATGCTGCAGTGCCACTCAGCGGTGCGTTACCAACACTTCCAAATGAAGCTCCTCAGCAAAAAATAATATCCTCGGCAATAAATCCAATATGAGCTCATCAATAAATCCAGAATAAGCTCCTCGGCAATGCATCTAAAATTCTAAATGAAGCTCCTCAGCAATAAATCCAAAATATCAAAGCCAGATTAAGACAAAAGTCTGACGCTCCTCTCCCATCCTCTGACCTGGGCACCAGGAGGCATCCTAGCGTAGGTGACGAGGTGCTGACCGCCGAAGATGACGGGCGGTTCAGAGGGCACAAGTGAGAGCCTCGAGGGCGCATCGAACTCGCAGGAGACGGTCACGCCCCGCACGCTCGCCTGCAGCATGCTGGCCACCAGACCCATCACCTGCACCCGCAAACGCCACGTGGAAAATTACCACAGAACAGAAATAACCTGAACTAGAATTGGTTTTGAAATGGAGACGTTTTTGGTGATGAAAATCTAAGAACTTCTATCAAGCATGGCCAATTGCTATAGATTAATAGAGCACAAACAAGTTATGATTATAAGAGACATTTCGGCACGCACGAGTGTCCGTCAATTTCATATCAGTTTACCAATGACAATCAATAAATGTACTTATCAAGCATAATTTCATGATGAAAGTGTAACGAAAATCCGTGAATGATCACTAAGCCCATTTTATTTGCAACTTTAAATGAGACGAATTTGAGGTGATGGCAATGAACCTTAGTCTGCATGCGGTCCGTCGCAGTGACGAGCTCAGCGCGCCCTCGTCCTGCCCTGGCGAGGCCCTTGACGAGCGCCGTCGAGGCGCCCTCGCCGATGCCGACGGTGAAGACGCGCGTGGACGACGCGTGGCGAGCGGCAAGCTCCGTCACCTCGTCGGTGTTCCACACGTCACCGTCGGTAAGCAGCAACACCTGCAGGGGTCAGGTGTGGAGTGGGGGTCAATGGGTGAGGTAGGAATAATTTCAGGAATATCTACCGAGAAAAGCCCGTAACTGGAGCTCAAATTATACGCACCGCCGTGAGAAATCGTCAACTGGATAGTGTGCCTTTCTGGAGATCACAGGGACAACAGAATGGCTAGGTACTGTACGTGTCTAGAGAACGAAGGGTCCACCGGCTGGCTGTAGATCGCCTTCAGGGGCGCCAGCACCTCCGTGCCGCCCATGTTGGCCTTCATGGAGGCGTGCAGCTCACACGCCATCGCTAGCGTCGCCTCCGAGTACGTGCGGCTTCCTCTGCGCTCATTACAAAAAATAATGCACATGAAGCCTAATGCATCCGTATATAAATATATAATTAAACTTTCAATGAAATAAAAACTCAGAATCTAACATGATATTATACCCGGTTAATGATTTTAATATTACACATAGAGATATGAGTGGGACTTCGTTCAAATAGCGATGGCCTTGCGTCATCCCGACCCAGTTTGGCACTACAAAAGGGCGTATCAGTACCACGTACAAAAAGTGTACAAGTATTTAGACAATATGCCCGGTTCATTTTTCTGATTGTATAACAGAAATGGTAGTAGCGACGCACTCCTTGAAGAGGAAGGAATGCGTTGATCCGAAGGAGACGATATTGAAGCGACAGCCCGGCGGGAGACTCTTGAGGAAGAGCAGCAGCACGGCGCGGGCGCTCTGCATGTTGTGGCCATGCATGCTTCCTGTCAGCAGTTAATAAACTAAATTATTAAACATAAAATAGAACAGTGATCAGTTTAGATCTATGTGAAATCCTTCAATTGAGGTAAAAATCGTCTTGGATGTGCATCAAACTAACGCTCTGGCAACACCATGTCATTGCTCCCGTGTTAATCTCAAATTAAACCATATTCAGCGTACGAAAGTGTTTTGCAGATAAATACTTTAGTCCCACACAGCTGTTCTATTGAAAAAAGCAATTGGGGAGGCCGATTGTAAGAAATTGTCGTAATTACGGCTGCCATTTGGAGGTAGGGTTACTGGTGGTTGAAATTCTAATCGAAATCGGCAAGGGTGAATAAGAATCGGCTTAGTCCAACATAACCTTATTAAAGCTGACACTAGCATAAAATTATCTATTTTAAATGTATAATCGAACGACACTGGGGAATATTCTCAAGGTCACTAAAAAGAACAGAAACTTCTCACGATCCAACGCCTGACAGCGCCTGTCGCTCTAACCTGAACGGTCGACGACGAAGATGATCTCGTTGAAGCGGGAATATGAAGCCTCGGGGAGCTGCGGGAACATGTTGATCATGAGCACCTGGTCCATCATGAGGCCCGTGGCCGTCACGTCCCCGGTCTCGATGATGGCCTGCGGCTGGTACGGGTTGTTGTAGTGCACCACGAAGCCCCACTCGTGGTCGCTCGTGTAGCCGCCATCTTGCTTGATCTGCTACACAAGTAGAATAGAATAGAAGTGTTGGCACTGAAGAAATAGGCCCATGGCCTGTTGCCGATTCTTGAATTTTTCGTGACTTGATTCACAAGGGATCCTTGTGAAAGTAGAAATATGAAGCTTGACATTACATGGATGAATACAGGTATTAAGATCACTGTATTGCTTACATCGCAAGTTTATCAAGATTCATGTTCCCTCGAAGTTGTAAATAGATAGATTTGTCTGTGCAAATATTTACTTCATTCTTATTTGTTTTCATTTGACGATTTATGTTTAAGGTTAAAGATCTTCAATGTAAATTTAGTTTACTAATTGTTTATACATGTGTTTTAGGTTTGACGATGGAGCTGGACTCCGAAACGTTTTCATTGACATGAAATGATGAATTTTTTGTCCGTTTTATTTGATTTTAAATTCTTGACATTGAGGTATATGCTGACCAATGAACAACACAAATTTCAAGCCACAACAGAAACAACATCTTACCCGGCAGGAACTTCTATATACTGCTGCTCTTACTCCTACTCTACTAGTATTTATACTTCCTATCCTATTTTTACTTCCTATCCTATTTTTACTTCCTATCCTATTTATACTTCCTCCTATTTCTGATTATACTATCAACACTGCAACTCATGCCAATACTCGTTTGTTTTATTTTGGCAGATCGTCAAATCTTTTAAGAGTTTGCATTACGATAGAAAACTCAAAAATAATCGAAAGAAAATGCATTTTTCACACAAAAAACATTTGATGAAATCGTTCTTATAGGAACTCTTCTCTTCAGGGTCACGACTCGTCACACTTCCATGAACATTGTAATCAACCATAAATTTTGTTAGGGAACATAGGTATATACTTTGATAAGGCAGTACGATGGATATATCATGATGACAACCGTCACGTATCAGCCTTTGAAAAACCGTAAAACCAGCCTTTGTAATACCGAGCTATGTCGTCACAAGACACAATCATGACGAGCTCCAATGATCGCGAACGCATTTAGAGCGACGAATCGTATAGTAGAAAATTCGATAATGATAATCAATATAAGAAGGCTTTTAACGGTAGCTTAATTATCATTGGTATTTACGCAAGGAACCGTACGTAATGCCTAAAGTTTTAGTCTATATACAATATTAAATGAATTGAAATATTACCAGTTCGTACATCAATAGTTTGCTTAAAACGAAGGTTAACCAAAATGTAAAGACAACCAAAACGCAAAGTAAATAAAACATATATGAATCGAAAACGTTCTCGATGAGGATACGATGAATTTACTTGGCGTTTCCTTGCTTTTTAAATATTATAATGAATACTAGATTAAATTATACGGGCAAGAATTAGACATATCCTAAGCAGAATTAACTAAATATGAAAGCCTCGACGTTAAACATTGAAAGTTTTTTCACAAAAGGATTATGAAGTCTAGGGAAGATTATGAAGTCTAGGGATGATTATGAAGTCTAATTATGATTATGAAGTCAAGGGATGATTATGACAAGGTCCCTGAAGGGTTACTAGAATTTGAAACAAGAACCAACACCAGGGGCCACGGCTATAAGCTAAAAAAATTGCGCTGCAACTTCTCCACGCGACAAAATTTCTTCTCGCTTCGAATCACCGACATGTGGAACAGCCTCCCCGTTGATTATGAAGTATAAGGATGATTATGAAGTCTAGGAATGATTATGAAGTCTAAGGATGATTATGAAGTCTAAGGATGATTATGAAGTCTAGGGAAGATTATGAAGTCCAAAGATAATTACGAAGTCTAGATAAAGAAACGAGTGACTGGATACGAAACTGACCGAGGCTTTCTTGTAGTCGTCGTGGATGGTGACGCTGATGGCGTCTGAGTGGCGATGATGTGATAGGATGCAGGCGATGTCCAGGGCACCGCTCACCGTCGCCCTCACGTCCATAGTGTACGGCGTCTGGGCCACCGCCACGGCGCTCAGGTCTCCAGTACACAAAGGTTAGGAGGATAGTTAATGCCATGGGTAAACCATTGGTGAATCCATCAAGAGGGACGGTCAAGACAAAGGTTAGGAGGATAGTTAATGCCATGGGTAAAACATTGGTGAATCCATCAAGAGGGACGGTCAAAGATGTGGGAAAACCGTTCATGAAAGTATATATGGGGATGGTTAAACCGTGTGAATCCATCAAGAGGGACGGTCAAGACAAAGGTTAGGAGGATAGTTAATGCCATGGGTAAAACATTGGTGAATCCATCAAGAGGGACGGTCAAAGATGTGGGAAAACCGTTCATGAAAGTATATATGGGGATGGTTAAACCGTGGGTAAACAATTGTTTGTTACGACCAGCCATGCTGAGGGATGGTAAGTGGCATGGATAAACCATTGGTGAATCCATCAAGAGGGACGGTCAAAGATGTGGGAAAACCGTTGATAAAATTATACATGGGGATAGTTAAAGCGTGGCATGACTTCATAAATAATTGTTTGTTAAGACCAGCCATGCTGAGGTATGGTAAGTGCCATGGTTAAACCATAAGTAAAACAATTCAATAGATGAACAACTGGGTTGGTAAAGCATTGGTGTCCCTAGCCATATCATGTGACTGGTTAGTGGTATGGATGAACTTGGGTGAATAAAAAATCGAAGAAACAGATATAGTTTTTGAAAACAAAAAACACTTGCTAGGAATTTAATTGATCAGTAAACAATAAAAGAATGAATAGACCGTTGATACGGCATGCTATGCATTGAATAAAACATTCACACTCCCTGCACCTACGGCATGATCTGCTTCATTTGAATGACGCACGAAGAAGTGTAGCCTAGCAATCCATATTCAGAACCTCGAAAATAATTCAAAGATAGTCGCATGAACAACTCTCCAAAGGACCCAGAACAAACTTTATACTGTATATGATATATTCTATATGGTATATGAATGCAGTTATAAGGTTGTCTTTAATTTATTGGTCTAATCATGCTGGTAAAACTTGGCGACCCTAAATCATGACGTAAGCGGCAGTTTTTAATGTCCTGGAAGAACAGTGAGTTTTTAATGTCTTTTTCAAGATGATACTCTCCTAACCACCATCTGACCCAGTCAGATGTTGCGAGAGACGCTCAGAGAATCTCGACTGTAGCTGGCAGAGCACCACAGAAATATTCTAATGCAACGCCTACACGAAGATAAGTTAAAACTGACATGAAATTTGATGCTCAAGCTGTGGCTTATGGAAAATGACATCTAAGCTGATGGCTAATTAGGGAATAAGTGACTCAAAGTTAGAAACATTCATGAGAATTCGGCATATATAATCAACGAATGAGTGATACCTGCGAGCAGTTTTGAATCAAAAAGACCAATGAAAATGCGAATCAAGTATTCTGAAATAATGAGTATGAGTGAAATAATAGAACGAGTCTTGATGTGTTTCCTACCCAACCCGACGGGGGCAACAGGTCCGGCGCAGGACGCAGGCTGGTAGCGCGGGTTGAGCACTGTAGGCAGACGGAACTCCACGCCCCCGTCTGTAGCAACCCTCAGCTCGCATACCAGCGACAGCGTCACCTCGCACGAGCTCTCTGTACATAAACGTCCTCAATGTGCTCTCAGCACAACCAACAAACGTCCTCAACGTACGTGCTCTCAGCACAACCAACAAACGTCCTCAACGTACGTGCTCTCAGCACAACCAACAAACGTCCTCAACGTACGTAATGGACGCCCGTCTGAGACATCTTGGCCAAGCCATTAATAGACCTTGCTAGAATAAAACATAAATGTTTAAATATTCTATTTTCTATTACAAGTTCTATTACAATTATTCGATAATTTTAGGCTAAGTATATGAACAAAAAACTCGATGAAATTATAAAATCTTCCAAAGATAAGAGTCTTAAAATAAGTTAGACGACACAACTCTATATATAATGAGCCACCTAAGAATATGCAAATTTTAGCAAGTTCCATTGCTATTAAGAGATGGTTTCTCTCGAATCGCAAGCGACAAGGAAAATCGCCAGCAAAAGAAATTGAATACATTATCCAACAATACTTGATAATTTTCGCTTTTATGAAGGATTAGGATTATGTACATATGCACGTATGATGTATGGTAGTAGTGACATAGTAGTTATGTGCGTGCACCCAAGCCTGGCCGCGCCGGTGAGCAAGCTAGCTAGCTGTTCGGCAGTTTGTTTACGCGGGAAACGCTGACACGGCGCGCTCGAGAGGCCCGCTGAGTCAGCGATCTCGACATAAACCTGCCACGGTGCATCGAGATTCCTATGGGGGGTCTGGGGACTCGAGGCATCAGTCAAGTGTTAATTATGATAGTTTATAGAACCAGAAGTCAGTCAAGTTATAAGAACTAAATAATCCGTGAGGGACAAACAGCATGGAATCCGAACGCTTTCGTGTGGTTATTTTGCCATATCTACCTTCCCGATTTTATGGTTATGATATAAAAATGATTAAACTATTGATTCGGTGCAAATTTATGTCATTTGATTTAGAAAATGATGAAACTATTGAGTCGATATAAAATTATATAATTTTATCTACGACAATTTTTAGACCTGGAGGGAGGTTGCCAAGGGCCAGGTTGAAGATGTCAGTCACTTTTGGCTCCTCGCGCACCAGCAGCGCAGTCTTTCCAGCCCTTAGGGCGTCTTCGTAGATCTTCGCCGCCTGAAGCCCAAATTAAATAAAAATTTCAGCGTAAATAAATGTCATTGCATGCACGAAAATAAGGTAACGTATCAAGCAATCAAGCGGTCTTTCAGCAAGCGGCTTTAGTGTAATTTTCTCAGCTCAGGTCAACAGAACCATCTTTTCACGTGTCCGGTGTCAGAAACTCTCCGAGCACGGATATAGAAAATTTACAGCGGAGACTCTAGTAACCAATATTATATAAAATATCCAGCAATCGCTCACCTTCTTAACCTCGAGGCACTTGGCGACGATGTTGCGATCCTGTATCTTCGCCTCGACGTGATACAGAGCGCTGCTCTCGTCCTTGGGCGTCCTGAAATACACCTACGCAACAACACCTTCGTCAGGGAAGATTGTACTCAACCAACTCCGCCTTATAAATCATTCGATTATGTTACATAATGGTCCTTTAGACCAAGATTTGATAAATTAGTGCTACAAGCATGAGCGACGCTCAACAACGGCATAGGAGTCCTACCATTGAAGGCATGTATATAAAAACGTAATGATCCCATTCTGGTATATAAAACCAACTGGTATAGAAAACCTGCTTTTAGTACATAAAGTTTGGCTGTGTTTACCTGGACTGCTTGATGGTCACACAAATTTGTCATGGATTGGCAGATCAGATTTAATTTAGAATGAGCTCAAATGGAGCTTAGACGTGGCACCATGTAAAGGGAGATCACCTGGAGGGGCTGGTTCCTAGGGTTGCGGTAGCGGAGTGTGGATTTTACATGAGCCACGTAGCCATGCACACTCACGCTAGAGCTCACGCTCTCAAGAGGCACGTTGAAGGAATCGTAATATCCTGGTATAGGCAAGAGTTTTAGGATCAAGCAGGAAATGAAAACAAGGAAAAAAAATTCAAATCAAGCAGGAAATGAAAAAATAATATGAAAACATTAGTTGCGTCTTGTTTGAAGAACATACTGACTCCAGTACATCTAGGCACGGTCGTTTCGAATTGGAATTTTAAGCATGGCTCCGCACGAAAGTAAAGTTGGATGCAAAACTGGGCAAATGTCAATTGTCACGAGGAACTCGAGTGTTTGTCGGGATTTGAAGTATGGCAAGTTAAGCAGCGAAATGATAGTGTAGCAGTTCACAATATAATAGCGGTTTCAGAGTTCATTAGGCCGTAGCCCTGTCGCCGATTCTTAACATCGTAGAATAGTCGCAGCTTGTTGCGGTCTCGAACGCGCAACTAACTGCTTCAATTTTGCTTTGCTGAACTTTAAATAGGAGTGAAATGAAAACGAAATCGAAATATGGCTCAAATTACGTCATATTTTGTTTGGAGATTTGTAAGATATCCAAAAAGTTCAGCCTAGGACTGATCCGTTGTTCTGAAAAGTTTAGGCCGGCTTTGGAAGAATTATCTTAAAATTTTTGTCCGTAGCCATTGATCACTCACCATACTCAACATAGCCGATGAGGCCGTAGATGCACCAATCAGACCGCATGGCTGTTGCAGTGTTGCAGGTAAATTATCTTTGGATTTTTAACCTGCAAAAGTTTCGCTCACAAACGGCAACGCCGAATGCTCCGTAAATAGTTTGTATACGTGATACCTGTTTAAAAGAATTACATTATGTATTTATGTGCAGAAAAATCACTTAAGATAGTCAAGACCGATAAAGGCTTCTATAATCTCCGACGGCGCTTAATTAACCAAATTATTACAAAAATAAGAGGTCATTTCTTAAGTATATCACAATTGATTGGCTAATTTTCATCAAACTGTGAGTTAATCAAGATTAAATCACTGCTCAGGAGCAGTTAGAGTGGAGCTAAGTCCCGCAGTATCGTTGGCGCGAGCCAAAAGTTTAAACTTTAAAGAGTCAAAATCCTACAAACATGTCGTCGGCGTTCCGAAAATTACCTTACTACGTCGAAAATAATCCTTAATAATTTTTTTAATCCATTCAATGCTCACTGTTCAGTACTGAAACAGCCAATAAATTCACGAGTTTATTCCCCTGCCCCGTAGAATTGCGTTCAAGCAGAGAAAATCCTTGAAACATACTGGCTGTTCCAACAGACGATTGCAAAATCTGGTACGGTATGTGACCGTATGTCCTCAGAATGCTTTTACTAGATAAATATCGGATTTTTAACATAATGCATGTTATGGAGAGTATTCAGTCGAATGACGTTATTTAAAAAAAATAAGTGCTCTCACTTGCAGCTCAACGAACCTAAGTTAGAGTTTGGGAATCATTTTATGCATGGGTCGCTATTTGTTTCTCTTGGATTATTTGAGAACACAGACCACTTGATCTAAGCACATATTTTCCTTCGCTGACTACCAGTTTTTAATGAAAGACGCCAGCAAACCACAAGCAGTCTTGCACCAACAAAGCCTTTCAGCCAGATTCAAATATCTTTATTCGTGATCGTCATCATTGTAGGTTATCGGTAAAAAATCATGAGCTCAGCCGTAAACCCCATCACCCATCCCTCAAGAACGTAACACCGTAACACCCAATCACCCATCAGCCGTGATAGTAACGCGTAACGCCTAACATCTTCTCGAAAGACCGCCATTCATTTAAATAATGTGAGCTTCACACCACCAAATACGGAGCGAATATCCTGGCGTGTACGAGTCCACATATAAACGTTTAGCCTAGTCCACAAGTCAAATTTATCGTCAATCTTGCATGTCATGCCAAAGTTTAACATACAAGATGGAAAACTGACAGGCGTCCACACTGTTCAAACTTTGGTTCAGTTTTGTGACAGTGGAGAAATTAGTATTGCTCGCTGCAGTGATCGTATTTTATGCAAGCAAGATTAGATTGAAGAGATGCAGACGTAACCAGTAGTTCGGACAATGGTTATTGAGGAGACGAAAATTCTCTCATGTGAATTTTGTGAATGTCTAATGCTAACTACTATGTGAACACTCAGATTGGCGTAACTACTTACGTACGGACACTGGAATCTTTGGTGAATTGCTGGATCTTATAATACCACACATCCAAAAAACTAGGTAGGTACACGGTACACCAAATTGAGGACTTCGATCAGTCCAAGCGAACGACTCTCGGATAGCCTACTCTTAGATTTTTAGAGGGAAAATGTCTTGCATGTCAAACTTTGGTATGACATGCTAATGATGCTAGACTGGGAATAAGTTTGATTGACTGTGTTGACAGTGGACGGGGATTTCCATAATCCTACCAGCGCTCGAACTGCAACAAGCGCACGACGTGAAGCGGCTTATCAGCTTAGTTCTAATATCATATAATCATAGTCTTGGATTTGTATTGAAAGGTTGCGCAATATATTGTGATTTGTGGGAACAGCCGCTTGCTAGAATTTCAAGCAATCTATTTTTTAGCAAAAATGAACCATGTTCGGTAATAAAAGTTAAGATAAATAAGCACATAGTATGATAGTGAGAAATGATCCTAGCATTGGTTCTAGCAGGGAAATGTTTACTCACGAAAAATTATAAAAATAAACTAAGAGTAGGTACTTCTTGATCAGTAATTAGTACTGCTCCACCTTTTCCAACGATTAGTATAATCTTCAATTTAATTAACCCTGTATTACAATTTAACACTACATAAAGCTGGGTGTCGTTTCCACGATAAAGCTCAATGAAGGCCAGAAGTTGCCGCCATGATGATAGGTGACGTGACCGACACTACCACTCCTAACCACCGCTAGCGCTAGGGACTTACTGAGGAGGCAGGCTGTCAGCGTCAGGCTGAGCGGGCCGAGCCTCACTGACCTGACGCTCTGAGCCACTAAAATCAAAACAGCAAACACTGATGCCACTGAAACTGAACGAGTATTCATTATTGCAGTGCGCAGAGGCCTCTAAACGGCACAATATCTTCCCAATTGCGGATATTTTCTTAAGATTTTGATATCACTCAATATGATGTGCAAACCGCCAATTTGGGTCATAGACGCTCAATGATATTGCGCAATAATATTAACATCCTAGGAGCGGCATGAAACCTGTCAAGCACCACCAGACCGCGGACTGAATATGACTTCCGTAGCATCGTTAAATTTACAGGCGACTGAGTGAACTAAGCCATGGTTGAATTAATACAGTATTAATTCAACCATGAACTAAGCAACGTCTAATGTGATGCATTGCCGTTGCCGACAGCCATGTGGCGTACTTAAGTAAGTCTAGTTTATGAAGTTGCTAGGGGTAAAGCGCAATCGAGTAGAGAATTATTTATGAAAATCACAATTTAATTGTTTGAAGTTGTAAGCAAGTCCTCTATTCCGTCATAAGTGGAAAGAGCCGTGGTGCAGGTATGCAGCTGACAGCAGCCTGAGCCCGATGTCAGCGGGAGCCTTTCGTGTAATTCGCTTCGGGATTGAGAAGTACGATATATATACGAATCTGATCTTGACCGTATTAACAGTGAATTAATTTAATTCCAATAAGTATGCGAGTGATTTCAGTTTTTTCCGCTTCGTTTTTATTTAGAGCGCGGTTAACTTTCAGCACCCGTCACACACACACACCTAACTTGGCTTTTAGCGCACTACAATGACTACATGAAAACAGAGCGGACAAAAGTACATCTGATGACGCTCGCAGGAGTGCATAGCGGATAAATAGCTTTGTTCTTAATAATGCCAGGATCGGTTTCAATTTGGAAAATAAGGCCTGGAAGATTGCAAAAACTTATAACGTTCAGTGTTTTTTTTTTTAATACAATCGTTTAATTCCAAAAATACAATCGTTCCCAAGATGAATCTTACAAAAATACAAAAATATTTGTGGTGGATTTTAGATGTGAACGGATAATGTCCTAGAATGGCCAAATAATCAGTTGAATTATCAATGAAAGGTCCAAGAATTTCATTGACAAACTTAACTTTATAGATTTGCTTTAAATTGTAACGATGAATTTAAGCGTACATTTTCTTTCATTTTATAACGTGCAACAAATGTATTATCCAACCCTCGGGAAATTGTTTCTGTTACAATTTAAGAAAATTGGTTAGTTAGGTATTTGTTACAAAGGAAAGAAGTTTTAGTTTCACTGCAAACACCTCTCACTGAGCACAATTATCACGTATTGGCCATAGCAAATACGAGCATATAAATAGCGGCAAGCTAAGAAGCGTTTTATGAATAACATGAGCTTCGAGCTACGGCCCGTCATTCACGCACTAAATTAGCTGTTTATCGGTAAGCAAAGATGTTTTAGAGAAATTCTTATTTTTCCAAAATAGTAAAGCAAAAGACGCCAAAGAGTTTAATTATTCATTATTTTCATTGATCATTTAGCACGGGTATAACAACAATATGAATTTAAAGCAAATGAAAACTGAAAATACGCAGCTTTTACAATAATAGAACAACAAATACAACTTCTTCAATACCGAACGCATTCTGCGTCGGTCAGATGCTTTATGAATTTCTTAACAGACAGGAAATAAACTGAAATCAATTATGATCTATCCTGCCTAAGTAATCTTGCTCGGTGTATCATTACACGCGAATAAAATATTCTGAATGTGCAAGTAAATCTCACAGTTTTAAATTTAAAATTTCGTGAAAAAAGTCGATACGCACTGTGAATGTTTTTTCTGTTTCAATCATCATAGGAAGATAATGCAACACTTGAGCATTGCCCAGATTCCGGAACAGAATTTATCCGTCCGCAAAGCGCGAATAATAGCGCAAATTACTCTGCATTCTCATTTCACATATAGTCGAAATGTTCCGCGCTGTTAAAGAATGAAAAAAAGCCTTAATTGTCCCATGAATAATATAGTGGTTATCAATCTTAACATTCAGATAGCATCCTCAGTAAGTCATGATTACACTGTATTAAAAAATATTTGCAACCTGCCCGGGATGCGCGAAAATTTACGGGCTAAGGAACGATTCAGGCAGTTATTCTTTACTTCATGAAAATGTTTACTTGCTAACACAGAATATATCTGGCAACGATTTACAACTGTTTCCACAGACCGCCCACCATGTTTCGGCAGCCGACCGTTGAAATGAAACTTTAAATTTACTCAGTATATTAACGCATTGATTAACGTAAACGTAAAGTACCTTTAACGCTACACGTTAGCGAATAATATACTGGATTGTGGAACGCGGAAGGCAACTATTGGTTCACGGGACTGTACAGAACCGCCAAGATGTATCATTCACACAAAGTTCGGTTCAGGAAATAACGCATATGAATGAATGATGATCAATGATCAACATCACAACTAACTAAGCAGCTCATGTTTTTGCAATGTAGTAATTCTCGAAGAACGACGAATCTCGATTTCAAAGTGGTTATGTAATCACAGTTACCTCATAAGCTAGTTGAGAGTGAGGATTTGTTCAATTGTTACAAATAGTGAAATTACACAATCGAAATACACTTCTCATGAATTCCAGGCAGTATGTTATCACAAGTTCACTCAATTGAACTGCGCTTAAGTTCATGTTGAACCTCCGTGAATGTTGGGAGGGTCAATTCTTCAGTTCAAATTCTGGCTTGCCGAAGCCTGCTTCCTCGATGAGCTGCGCGGTCCACTTGCCGAAGTCGACGACGTACGACTGGAGGCACCACAGGATGAACTTGTCCCCCTTAGAGCACTCCTTCAGCACCACCTTCATGTCCCGTTTGTTTTCGCTACGTCGAGTGATGAGGGCATCCAAGCGACCAGGCCTGGAGAAATTTATCGTGTATTGCAAGCATACGAACAACAACCTATGAGCAAAAGTAGCTCCTGAAATTAGTTGCTTGCTTTTAAAAATACTGGACAATGTGTAGTAGTAAAAATAAACCAGGGAACACTGTGGCTACTGTTGAGCATTTCGCTGCAGGTCACTTGTGGCAATAATCTGCGTTCATGATTTAGAACCGGAGACTTGAAAATACGAAACTAAATAATTAAAAAAATCACATGTTGTAAGTATTTTTACCGTTTGACGACCAATTAAGGAAATAGAAACGAGTAATTAACCGATGCAGTTCGAACTTCGACAGTGCAGACCGAGGCATGCAGGAAAGCGATTTCGTAGTACATGGTTAAAAAAGCGGCCAGCAGGAGGCGGCTTCATGCAGGCAATAAGTCCAGCAGCTACGTATATCTCAAACAATCGTCTGTAATGGAAAGATCGGGTTCCAATGGCCGGATCCCTTGTGAATTAAGTCACGAAAAGTACAAGAATCGTCAACAGGCAATGGGATTATTTCTTAGTACCGACACTTCTATTCTATTCTATGAAATTTTGCTCATCGGCTAACACTCACACGAGGAGGAGGAAGAAGTGATAGAGGAGGGCGGCGCACGTGAAGGCGCACAGCAAGATATACGTCAGCCACAGCACCACGTAGGTTTTCTCGTTGACTATGTTCAGAGGTAGCACACAAATGGCATCCATGCTGACGATGCTGCCAGATGGACCATATTTATACCACGTGCATTTGCCAATCTGCAGAAGAGAAATTTATGATCAATCGCAAGGAAGTGGGGTTTCACTTTGTCGAACCTAACCTATTAGTAAAAAGTTACCACTGACCGAAATGGTACTGACTCGACTGGTACTGCGTATAGTTCACAGCCATGAAGATTCAATTAGTGTGATTAAATTAGATTCCTATGAAATCTTACTTATTATTGTTTTTTTTTTTTTGCGAAAAGGTCTAACGGGCTGATTTCTGCGAAATAAAAAAAATGCGCAAAAAATTTAAAGCTTGCACTAGGTACTTGAAGTGAAAATTTAACTAGCTGAACTTTATATGCATTTTTGACTTATTTAAACAAGGTAGGAAAAACAAATTTTGGGGTTTTTGGGATTGAATTACTTCTACCAGCAAGCTAAGAGCTAAAACTGTAGAAGTTATATTTACCCAAGCATTTCACTGACCTTAGGGAAGACAATGTTGAGTGGGTTATTGGGATCAGTGACACTCCCTGTAAGGTAGCTCAACGCCCCCTTCCCGAAATCGAAGAACTGTCCCCCGAGGAAGGCGTCCGTCAAAAAAAGGTTCCCGATTGTGAAACCACAGCCCAAGATTTCACACATGATGAACCACGCCAGGTATTTTCCGTTACTAAAATTCCGTGAGTGATTGAATACGTTGACACTTTGGCTCCTCTGAAGGAGTCAAAACAAAGGCCGATGTCACGTTTGCTCATAATTCAGAATTCATATATACATATATATAATTCAACTTCTCACCCCCTAGAGGGGGTGAGAAGTTGAATTATTTCCTAGAGGTTTCCAACTTTCATCTAAAGCAAAAAGAAAAATTATTTTATTGATCAGTGTTTATCGAACTGTTTTTGTCGAACTGTTAAATTGTTCAATTTGATTAAAGGAAAGGAGAATAATTTATCAAAAAAATTATGCACACCTTTGCATGAGCTAGTTCTTTATTGACATGGACTTTGTGCGTGTCGCAGAGAAGATATTCTAGGTGGCCATCCTCTTTACTCTGCCATATCTTGGTAGGCAGGAAGAGCAGAACACTCTGCAGCGCAATCATGAAAGGAACCCATTGATAATACGCGTGGAACGTCACGCCTTCATCTTCCTCCACCACAGAATCAACCCCGATGCCTGGTGGGAAGACTTCTCTGTGGGGCACCGGGCCCAGTCCGGGGTGCGGAGACTGTACACAAAAAAATGGTTTTAAATATTTACTCATTATTGATATAAAGAATTATGGAGCTTTTGGTTTATTCAAAATTCTACTTTCAAATTCTAAAGCATTACCTGGCGTCATTTTTTTTAAAACCCTAATAGGTGCTTCATGTTTAATAAATGTAATCATTCTAGTTCATGATTTGCATTAAAAATCTCAGCTTCTTACAGCGGCCGGAAGTGTGAAGTTGGACAATGTGAAAGTAGAAGTAATGAAGCAATAGCTGGTGATGGCTTTGGTCTCCTCTTCTTTTACAGCAGCACCAGCCGTGCAGTCGATGTTGTCACCTATAATAAGGAAGGATATCGTGAAAACTTCGACTCCCGTGAAACGTTGTGACAAGGACAATGACGTTGTAGATATGGCGATCTTCTCTGAAGGACATGCGTCTATTGACGTAGCAATCGTCTTGCTTCCATGCAATAAAGATTCGGCAAACTGTTAGCGGGAACATTAATAAACTATTTAGAGTACAATCACTACTAAGGGGATACTCGAATTGGTTGTAAGAGGCTTGGACGGTGTTCTGGGATTTGATTCCGCCCTGACCGCGATTTGGATTTCAGCGTTTCAGATTCTGATTATGACAATAAGACTACTCAGCCAAACCTCCCTAGCTTTGATCAGATTTAGTCATGCCGATCTTTCAACGTCTGTAACACTTGATCTTTGTCTGTTGTCGAAGATAGGATCAAGAAGCGCCCTTCCATCAACTCGTGCATCAATGAAAACGCCAATAAATAATTGTCCCTTGGAATAAATTCACTCATAGATCTGGGAATGAGAGAATCTTGTACTCCTTGCGAGCAGATACGTCCTTACACATCGATCTCATACGGACACGCTGGTCCCTATATAGGTCATCGTCCTAACGGAGACAAAATTTTTTGTCCTGTTTTTCATTTTCGTTTTCCTCTTTAATGGTCACAAGTGTTGCGGCGACTGACTTCCAAGGTTAAGATGCCATATTTTACTTCATCTAAATTGTACTGTGCCTTTTAGCTCGGTTATAAAACTTAACAATGCATCTGGAAAAGTGCCATGGTATATTAAAACTCGATGTGAAAACATCAATGAAAGCATAAAAAATATGAGTTTAAATTAATGTGCTTCGAGAGCATCTTTCGAAGCTTGGTACATTCAAGTACATCGCGAGGAAATGAAATTATTAGTTATGTACAATATAATCAGATCATACAATTCCCAGGAAGAACTTGAACCTGCTAATTCAATTAAATTCGAATTCCAATTCCGTTAAAATCTATGGCCCCATTTTATATTTCCCATTTCTGTTTTGCAATACTGTAATACTGTTTTGCAATACTGTACTGTTTCCATTAATCCTTTCGTCCAATTTTTTACTACTCCTAATTAAAAATGATTCCTCTGAATAAAATTCTTAAAATGGAACTTGTGTGCCTAAAGAGTTTAATATGTTATGCTCTAATTAAACAATCCCGTGACAACATTAGATGTACCGCAGGCGTTGCATTGGAATATTAGCATGTAGTACGTGAGATTTTCGAGCCCACTGACGCTAAATCCAAATTACGATGTAGTAACGTATATAATATACATTTGTAAGTGGCCTAGTGCTGCACATAAGTGAAGTTATCAACACTTTACGTGCCTTTAAATCAAGCTGTTAAATCTTACCAATAAAGAAGTCGGGCACTCACGTTACCTGTGAGTACTAAGAAAAACATTGTTATCATGAAAAAATTTAGTTACTAAATCATTTCGTAGTAAACCTAATCATTCCATGAGTCATAGTTTCAGGCAGAATATACTTTATTTATCGCAAGAGACTCGATTAAATCAATCGTTTGAACCCGCAGCGTTATCTTTATAAAAGACTGAACGAACGGCAGATAAGCACGACACAGTCTGCGAGTCTCAGCTCTCGCTCACGGCAATTACACTAGCGGCGGTGTGTGTCCTCCTTGGGTATACCTGTCGTATCGACATCCTCATGTTCTTTAATGCTCCAGCGACTGCCATGTTTAAGTCTAGACCTTAATTTATTTCTTATTTTCTCATATAATAAAGTTAAAACGAGAAAATTATATTTTATAATACAATTTAGTAATATACATATAAAAGTATCAAGGTGCAAGACAAACTAAGAACAGGACCAGAGAGTAAACATATGTAGGACGCGTCACGTTGCGCGTAAAGTATACTGCGATTTGCGTATTTTAAGTATTCACGTAAGTATTTATTTAAATCCTTAAGATTTCAGGGTATTTCTTGCACTGATGGCAGTGATGGTTGAATTTCATGCCCATAATGTCAACAGAGTGCAAAGAGACACAATATAGCCTGCATATATAGGACACAATCACGCACTGAGATTCGATATCGTCTACACGATACACAGAGATATTGCATTCTAAAAATTTTTCAATTTCGATAGCCTTACCCATTAATATCTCACTGCTCATTTAAATAGAAATTTTTTTTCAATCCAATACGATATTTTTACAGTGTAATCTAAAATTATGCAATTAGATTTTAAACAATAAATTAATATCATAAATAATATTTTGAATAAAAATATTTGATATTTTTTGATAATTGATGCATTCACAGTAAGCAGCTCATGTTCCGCACGCATTCAAGCAATTAATCATGTTGAAGCGAACGAATTTCTTTTTGCGTGCGCAAAATGAAGCAAATGGTTTGATTTTGAATTTAAAATTTCAATTTAAATGCTCTAGCAGTTACATATAGGCTACTTAATTGGAGATGAATAAACAGCCTTACCGGTTACATATATACAATTAGCCGCTCTATGAATATCATTGAGAGTTATGTAAACAAAATGATCAGATAATGAGCAGTTTTATGAACGGAATAACAGTTACTTTAGTATCAAATTTTACTTTACTAACATCAAATTTTAATAAATAATATAAGAATAATACCTTCAACAATTATATTATTTCTATAAAATTTCGTGCTGTCACAACAAAAAACCTGAATTCATTGAATTCACGTCTTTTGAATTTCACACACCCAATGAATTCATTTCATTACACACGCAACATACGCACGTGACGAATTCATTGCACGCGTTATGGCACGTTGCTAATTCATTCCTTTAAATATTTAGATTTTTTATATTTTCTAAGTCTAAAATTGCACTGCTCGTGCCTAATTAAGCCAGTAAAATTATTAAGTATCTAAAACTTAATTTCTGAAACGAACAATTTATCATTTGTTTAACGATTAGACATAACCATAAAAAATTATCCTGAAATATCTTCGATTAGTACTTAAATCACATTCAGAAGTTCGCCTAAATTGTGGAAACTAAAATTTAACAGCGATTAAAAGACAGCATATTACATTGCGGTAACATTTAAGTTACGGTACCGACAATTCTCCCATCAAATAGTGACACCGAATATTTTAATTGATTTATTTATGAAGCATGGTTTATGTCGTCGTATTCAGCGGAAAAGTAAAGCGTTCGTGATGCCAGCCATGTTAAAATTAGTATTTAGAATTTTAGATTAATGTCAACCCTGCAGTCAAAATGCCATGTAATAATAACCCTAGCGAGTTGTTAATGTTTGTTTTGCGATTGAAGCTAATTTTTATTAAATGTTTTGATAAATTTCTTTATTAATTTATTATGATAGCAAAGCTTAAATTGCCTAAGGAGTGAGTTCTAAAATTTATTAAAAACAATACTGGTTTGAATACTCTACTCTAAAATTTAACTCTAATACTCTAAAATTTAACATCACTTTTGCAGAAAAGTGATTTTTTATCATCATAGGTTCCAAAATTATGGATTCAAAATTGGTTTTACATTATAATTAGGGAAGAAGCTTACGAACTTCCTCGAGTTTGAATGCAAGTTCTCACCTATGTAGGTTCGGGCCGTGACCAAGACGAACGCCATGCCCGTGAAGGCCGCCGCCAGCTTCATAGACTTGAAAAGCGCGGAGTCCACATTTGGCTTCACATTTCTGCCAAAAGATAAAGTCTTTACGCTTACTGTAAATTCAGAGTAAAGTGTTAAGAAATTCCACCCTTACATTGCAGTTGGACTTCTGAATTATACGGAATTCTTTGCCGATTAACACAATAAGCATGCCCACATCTGTACATGAAACAAACAAATGTTCTCTAATTCACGACTATTATCGCGTATCACTCCCTAAATATATATGCTGAAGAACGTCACTTACGCTGTGAGTTGTTTACCAACAGCTGATTTTATTCCGTCAAACAAATTCAGAATCATCTCGCCGATATCGATTGCAAATATACAAAATTTATGGAATCCCCCTTGATCCTGTTGTATAACAAGCAGTACGGGCGTCGAAGTTTATTCACACTGAATCATCGAAGCTTCGTATATGAGATGCGACATCAGATAAGATAACACAGACCGTAACATGTGCCCCCAATGAAGACTCTCAACTCTGAGCAAACTAATGTCTTAGAGGTACAACTGAAAGATAAATCTATAACTTCTGTTTGTTGAATCAGAAAGAAGCATCCAATTTTAAAAATTATTCACAATTAGACCACCCATCGAAGCCTTGAAATGAAGCCATACGCTCTTAATCGCGAGTTTCATCCCTTTAATTATAGCAGGAACACAGAATGGTGCCGTTTTCTTTCATTATGAGTTAGGGTTGTAACATTTAAACTACATCAAGGAAACTTGTTTCAATAATTGTGGCATTGCGACCCTCTGCATAAAATAAGTTTTAACTATAACAAGTTCATGCTCGGCTCGGCTAAGAATATTTATTAATTCATAATCAAACAAATGGATGATTTTTACATGAACTTTGTTACCTGTGTTAAAAAAATTCTACGCATCCAATACACCGTTTCTTTGTGACAATGAGTGACGTCATAGAGGTAATGCCAGTGATCGGGGATAATTTGTAGATCATCGAGAATGATCTACGAAATTATGCAGAAAGCAAGGCGTGACCGTGACATCACATGATGTCCTAAATAATACAAGAAGCTATGTGCATCAGCGATGTGATGAAGCGCACTGTTGGCCGATAAGCTAAAAATGATATGATGCCTTTAAAGGTGTTATGTCAGCACTAACGTAATTCATCATTTTCGAATTTATCCAAGCCATTATAGCTAATCGCGAAAATTGAATTTGATTGCCCGACGTTTAGATGTACACGATGGCAAAATAGCTCACTCACCCAGGGCCAAGTAGAGGCAGAGAGCGGAGACCCAGCAGTAGAAGGATGCTTGACACGAAACTGATGTGGTCACTCCCGGCCTCCGCCAACTGCTTACAGGCTTTGCATTTACAGCTGGAAGAAGCGTGGTCAGATTATTGGTTTATGTAGTCTGATCCTATCTTTGAAGTGTGCCAAATTACGAGTTTACATCTTATTATTTTTAGCGCATTTTCTCATTTATGGAAAAAAATTCACTATTGTGCTCGCCATGTCCGTCTGTCTGTCTGTCTGTCCATCTGTCTGTCCGTCTGTCGTCAAGTTTTCGTCGACGAGAAAATGCGCTCTCTGTCACTCACTGCAGTGAGTACTGAGTTATATTTTTTAGTTTTGTATTCTATTTAGGCTGAGCCTGACTAGAGGTTGCCGTTCTCTAGTTGCCAATATTATTTGTTCATTAATTATACTTTATAATATCAGAATTTTGAGAATGTTGCAATTATTCTTCAATAAAATTTATCTGATACAGTCTATCTAATTTGATCAATCTTTAAACATAGGAGATAAGCTTGGGATTCACATGATACCTCATCCTACGGCAAGCATGGACTGGCACCCTCTCCTGCACTCACGCGTGCCATGTTAAACTCTGATCCTACCCTCTCCTGCACTCACGCGTGCCATGTTAAACTCTTATCCTACCCTCTCCTGCACTCACGCGTGCCATGTTAAACTCTGATCCTACCCTCTCCTGCACTCACGCGTGCCATGTTGTACTCTGATCCTACCCTCTCCTGCACTCACGCGTGCCATGTTGTACTCTGATCCTACCCTCTCCTGCACTCACGCGTGCCATGTTGTACTCTGATCCTACCCTCTCCTGCACTCACGCGTGCCATGTTGTACTCTGATCCTACCCTCTCCTGCACTCACGCGTGCCATGTTGTTCTCTTATCAAGATCATCACAGTAAATAATACTAAAAATAATACTAAAACAACTACTAACAATATTGCCAATTAATTACTGACGACACCGTGTCTGCTTGAAATATTAGACTGAATATTCTCTTCCTTTACGCTGGGCCATACCACGGTTCTGGAACAATATTTGTATATATGTCATTGTTCCAAAAAAATTCGGAACAATGATTTATATTATATAGAAATTTGCTCTATATGCTGAGAAATAATATTTCGTTTACATGTTCATAGCCTATGACATTGTCTCTGTTGATGTCTTTACTTACTTGGTCTTGACGTGCACCATGATTACCGGTCCACTTGCTTATATATCTTTCCGCACGCTACTCTCAGATTTAAATGTTTAGTCTGGGTACAAGAATTGAAATGAATGAAAATTCATCGGCTTTTATAATTTATTATAAATGCGCAAATGAATTTTGTAAATGGTATAGGTACATTTATTCAAGTTATTCAATGCGAAAAATTTTTTCTTGTCCAAACAATCTTGATGCTTAAAAGCCTTATTCATAAACAGTCAAATCGCCCTTTACTATTGACTTTTTCTTTACTATCATTTTCGACGTTTTTTAGTGTTTTATATGAGGTCCAAATTAATTCACACGGATTATATTGTTAAAACGCTTTCGTTTCTCCTCAGAAACGATATGTTTACTTCAAAAAACGTCACTGACAGCCTAGATGGAACATGTTTGTTGCTGTGCTGTATTCAGCATATTCTTAAATACTTTGATAACCTTTCCCCAGTTTGCACAGTCATACAAACGTTATTATTGGATTTGAGTTCATTCGAGAACGTTTATTCATTGCACTTTACAACGTTATCTCTGAGCTAGTACGTATTTCATCCGCTTCAGGCTAAGTAACTAACTTCTCGGGCATTATTTCTATTTGGACTTCACTCGATGAAACTGTGCACACTGTGGATTGATTGATAGAACAATAATAAACCTGCTTGTAATCGATTAAACTTATTATTGTGTTTGATTTGAACCTTTCCGACAGCACCCGCGGAGCTGAAGTGAACGCTTCACCCTGTTACGTGATGGCACCAAATGAAGCGTTTATAGAGTTTAGACAGATACGGTAGAGCCAAACTCTAATCTATGGACTCCTAATCTTTCTTGCTGTGAATTTCAGAGAATTTTACAATCGTAGATTACTGCACAAGATTGATTAAAACGGGGATTAACAAAATGTGTTAAATGATATTATGTCGCTGATATGAGCGTGTTCGATAATACCTGCGAAAGCTACGGCGTCATCGACAGAGGTTAACCATGTGGATAGTGTCTTGTTGGTGGCTGGTGTGATCGAGCGTTGTGCTTTCGTTGTTGATTCTTCCCACTGTCATCAAGATGAGAATTGATCTTTCGCCATCCAATTTCTTTTCCTTCACGATTTATTTTTCATGGAGTTGCTTAATTTGGTCACGTTAATTTATCGTCGAGCAATAATTACTCTTCTCCATCTTTTTATTGACTTGAATGAACTGAACCTCAAATGATGAATTTAGTTTCGTCACATGGTGCAACAACTCTGTCTCCATAAATCCGTGACTTGTTGATCGTTATTTATCCCCAGCGCTCATTTGGTTTCACTGAATGTTTTCAAGAAGTCTACTATTTTCTTTATTGCAAAGAAAATGACATTGGTTTCTGCATGGTAGGAGTCCGGTTCCTACATAGATTATTAGCTCTTGATTTTATTTTTATTTTAGTAGATCAATAGTTTGATTCGGTCACTTGATTCGGCGTGCTTCTGGCGTAATTTTGCACGACTGAAAGGGATCGTTAATTTGGTTTTAGTAGAAGATGATCATTAGGCTTCCGTTTGGTGCTGATTCGATCATTATCAGCTCTGTTTTGGAGCGCTCAATAATTTAACTCATTGTTTCTACTCATTGTTTACCGAAATTTGTTTGCAGTTCGGTTTTTAAGTCACTAGCGGTTGCACAGATAACCCAGGTTGAATGAGGAATCGTACATTTGGTGCTCGAAAGAATTTCATTAACATACCCTAGCTCATAATACGGTATTTACATCTCTATAAAAAATACTGCATGTAAATACTGTATCTCTATCAAAAGCTTACTACTCTGTCAATATCAAAAACTTGATATTTATACATTAAACTTATTACTGTACCCATATTTAAAAGGTAATACTACTATTATGAACTCAACCTGCAGTTCCTGCATGGCTTGTCTGGTGCCGCTTGACATATTCGCCATCCGAAGCTCGCCGCTTATATTCCTGTGGGTACAGCCGCCACAAAAATTATGGGTTTAACCCTTTCGTGACGGCTATGTCTTTTACAACTTTTTATTTGATTTTTTCTGTAGAATCACATTAAATTAGGACTAAATAATGCATTTCTGTAAAAAAATTATTAAAAATATGTTAATTGTAAAAATTCTATAAGCGGGACTAGAGAGTCCCGGTAGTATATGGTTGCAACTGTAGTGACAGATATTGCGACATTGGGCTGCAGCACTGTAGCGACCTTTCTTTAGCTGTTATTTGTTGAAATGTATCTTACATTCAATGCTTGGCCCTACAGGCAAATTTGGAGTTAGGGATCATAGAAATGCATCGTTATCACCAATACATTTATTGTGAAAAATTATTATTTTGCGAAAAAAATATTAACCTAGTATATATACGTTAGTATTTGGATATTACAAAATTCCTTTGGCAAACGTGTGTACTATCATGTAATGACATACCCTATCACAATAAACAGATGAAAATAATTAACCTATCATAATAACCAGGTACCGTATAAACAAATTCCTTTGGAGTTGAAATAGATAGCAATTACTTAAGTAGCAGTTTCTTCACTACAATTTATGGTCCCTTTATCGATGTACTACAAGCAAGCAAAAATGCAATCAGTCATTATTATCAATGGAGAAAGTTTATCGCTGATGAAACTCTCTGAAGCAGTTTCTTGCGGAGTTGCAGCAGAGATGCACTTTGCAGTGTTCACATTCTACGGCAGGTCTTGCTTCTTCTCCCTTCTTTGAGCACACTTGGCACCTGCCCCTGGACACATTGAACTGAGGCCAATGTACTCCTACATTGGACAATCTCACTGAAGCTGGAGTCGAGAAGTCACTCTTTCTACGTCTCTTGCAGCTTGCTGTTGGCTTTGTTGAAAATGTCAGGANACGCAGTTCTTCGTATTGGC